GAATGAAGAATGTTTGGGCCTTTTTGGAGTTGTATGTAACCCAGTATTTTTCATTCAACTAAAGTTAAGAAAGCTATTCCTCTAAATTTAGGACAACCAGGAATAATAATTTTACTAAGAACATGTGTTAAGAAAAGGAGTTGAACCTCAGGTAATAAAGTTTGAAGTGTTATGCAATTTCTGGGCTCTGCCATCCTAACAGACCCTGTTCTAGGGCAGGGTAAGTAATGGTTTAATAGGTTTAGAATATTTCATCCATTATTCTAAGGAAAAAGTATAGAATTAGCCTTAATTTTGTTGTCCTTTTTAACTGGGAGAAATATTTTCATAGCTAGAAACTGACCTAGATTTCTGTAGTCTGAACTGAGATCATGCAGGACTTTAATTATTGAACAAATGAACCATTAATGGCAGTTACATTCTTTGGATGTCCTGATCCAACCCATCAAGGTCTTAAACCCTCCTGTCAACCCTCTTGAGTAGGATTGCGCTGTTATCCCTAGGATAACTTGTTCTACTGATTAAATAGTCTTTGAGTCAGTTAATGAGTTTGAATTTAGACAGATGTGTCTGGATTATAATCATTTCGAGGTTGGTTTATACTCTGAGGTCACTCCAACCAAAATTTTTGGCCTATAGGCAGGATTTTATATCCCAAGGGGTTAGTGTCAAGGGTTCACAACTATGGTTATATAATTCAATTTCATTTATGGTAATGAAACTAAGTGCTTTATTATAAATTTTTTTAGAGAAAGAAATTGTAGTGTAGTTGAAAGAAGTATTATCAGTATTATTTGTTTGGTCCAAATTCTGTTGTATTTCTTTCCATGCTCTGCTCTTATTTCTTTCCTTTCTTCTTTGGCTTAAACACATGTTCACTTGACTGGTCATGTTTCCCTCTTTCTGTTTGTTTCTTTCTCCTCCCTTACCTTTCTAGAAATGTTTTACCCCTAGGCTCAATATTTTCCTCAGCCACCTGTGCCTCCATGATGGCTTTTTTAATTAGTCTTTCTGTTTTCTATTTGTTGTGTGCACCTGTCATTCATCCATTATTGTCCTACAAGATTCATTATTGCCTTTGTCAGATGCAGCCAAATGTATGCAATCACTTGTCTTCAGGTATCTGACATACAGGATAAAAGGACTCTATCCCATCTTAGTTGTAAATTGGCCTCAAAACTGAGCTCAAGAGGTACTTTGTGCAAATAAAAATCACAGGAACATTCAAAACTCATTAGAAATTTCTTAATTGAAATTTCTTAAATATCATATTTTGAAAAATATACTGACCTACTGATGGATCAAATCTTTACCCAGGATTATTGTGTTCAAGAAAATAATCTATTGGATATCACATTATCTGTGTAATAACTGACTGGAGGTGAGGGGAGTGATGTTTGGAGATGTCTCTATCATCTCTTATAATTCTCAACCTATGTGAAAATTCAGGTCATTAAATGGCAGAATTGGGGTTGGAATGTACATCAGAATAATTCAGAAACCTGTGTTCTTTCCAATGTATCCTGTAGTAATACTGAATATTATAATTATTTTATCAAATGTAATGCTCATTACACATAAAACCTTTCTTTCTTCCCAGAATGTCCCTGAAGGAAAAGGAAGTGTATGTGGAGATGTTCAGCAATCCAATAAAGATGGTAAGATATTTGAAGTCGCCTCATTCTTGTCTGTTTATTGACTTGAGATTATAGACATTTTCATTAACATAGAAGCAAAATGTGAGATGGAAAAACCAACAAATGCCATAATTTGCACTTATTCAATTAGAGGGCAATTGGAGAAGCAGTATACACATCTCATAATCATGTAAATGATTCTAATGTGTTCCACAAATGGCATATCCTGTACATTCTAACAGCAGCTTTGATGTTTTACTCACAATTCCTAGGCTTGTGAATTGCTCCTCTGTCTAGGGATCATGTTCTTCTCCACAAATCAGTATGTTTACTTTGTTATATGCACACTTTCCTATAATTTTTCTTTTGGTACCAGGTTGAACTCATAGGCACTTAACCACTGAGCCACATGCCCAGCCATGTTTGGTATTTTGTTTAGGGAGGCTATCACTGAGTTGTTTTGGGCTTTTCTATGTTGCTGAGTCAGGCTTCTAATGCACACTCCTCCTGCCTCAGCTTCTGAACACTGGGATTACAAGTGTGTGCCACCATGCACAGCTCCTATAATATTGTCATTGGAAACATAAACTTTATACTGGAATCTTAACTTTATGTTTCATTAAACCTGTATTCCTGATTTTTCTACAGTATATTCTGTCAGTTTTTGCTGTAAACATAAAGAAAAAGTCCAAAGCTAAAAGTACTCATCATCAAATTATGCATAAGAATTCTTCTCTGTACTAACTTTGTCTGAATTTCTGATTATTTTTGATACCTTGATGTACAATTGATTATCTGATCCTTTTGCTTTTCAGTCTCTCAAAAGAAACATCCTCATGTTAGGGTAAAATATTTTCATTTTTTTCTAGAATTATTAACTATATATTTTATGACTATACAATTTTAATATAATATCTTGTTTCCAAACCCATCAAGGCTGCCTTTGAAGAGAAAAATAAAGTAAATGAGGTAGTTGAAGTGAATGATGTAAGGACATTCCAATCAGGTAAATTTTGCTATAATAATTTTCAGGAAAAAATTACATTAAACTCTTGAATTGTAAACAAACTTCCCAATCCTTGTTTTGTTTCCAGATTCTATGGGAGGGTTTCACATAAAAAATTCAAATGTGAAAGTGAGTGTCCATGATTAAAATAAAAGTTATATATAAGCCTAAAAAAATGATTTTTTTACAAAGGTGATCTTTGTCTTAGATGTTGCTACATTTAAGCCTTTGTAATATTTTTTATTAGGGCATTATAGCTATATATAATATTGGGGTTTATCATTGACATAACTATATATGCATGGAATATAATTTGTTCCACATAATTTCTAGGACCTCCTTCCCTCCCCACCTGCCTTCTATTGTTCTCCCTCCTCTATCCTACTGGCCCTCCTTCTCTCTATTTACAGTTTTTAACATTTGTGCTTGTCCATAGACACAGAGTTGAAATGTTCTGTGGTATATTCATATGTGTGCCTAGCCTAATTTGATCAACATCATTCATAGTCGCTCCCCTTTCCTGTCCCTCTTGTCTTCCCATCTATCTTCTTCTATTCCACTGGTATCCCTTCCATTTTCATAGCCTTCTTCCCATTTTTCTTTATTTTGTTCTAGGTTCTGCATAAGAGAGAAAACATTAAATCCTTGACTTTCTGTGTCTGGCTTATTTCACTCAGCGTGATGTTCTCTAGGTCAATCCATTTATAAGCAAATGCCGTAATTGATTGTTATGGCTGAGTAAAAAAACATTGTCTATGTATACCCTCCTTTCCATCCATTCATCTACTGATGTGCACTTGGGCTGGTTCTATATCTTGGTCTTATGAATTGCCCTTCTATAAAAATTGATGTGACTTCATTGTGCTGATTTTAGTTCTTTTGGATAAACAGGAAGGAGGAGTGGGATAGCTGGATGGTTCCATTCCTAGCTTTTGAGAAATCTCCATGCAGTTTTCCAGAGTGATTTTATTAATTTGAAGTCTGAAGTCTCCATCACAAGGTATGAGTGTACCTTTTCCCCTGAACCTTTGAAAGCTGGGATTACAAGTGTGTGCCACCATGCACAGCTCCTATAATATTGTGATTGGAAAAATAAACTTGATACTAGAATCTTAATTTTACGTTTCATTTCATATTTTTTTATTTTTTCCCCAAATTGCCATTATTTAAGTGAGATAAAATCTCAGTGTGGTTTTTGACTTGGATTTCCCTAGGGAAGTTGAACTCCTTTCATGTATTGCTTGGCCATTTGTATTTTTGCTTTTAAGACGTGTCTGTTTTGTTCTTTGGCCCATTTATTCATTGGTTTCTTTCTTTCTTTAATGGTGTTAATCTTAGGGTTCTTTATATATTCTAGATATCATTCTGCTTTTGGAGAAGCAGCTGGAAAAAATTTTCTCCTATTCTGTATGCTCTATATTCTTGCTTTCAATTGTATGCTTTGCATGCACAACTTTTAACTTTGATGCCATCCTACTATTGACCCTTGATTTTCTTTCTTGAGCTTAGGTTCTTATCAAGGCAATTGACAACTGAGACAATATGTTGATGTGTTGACTCTGTCTCTTCTTTTAGCAGTTGCAAAGTTTCTGATGTAATTCCTGTTACATTGATCAACTTTGATTGACATTTGTCCAAGTTGAAAGATGTTTCTGGTACATATGGATAGTTGTTTCAGCACCATTAGTTATAAAAATTATCTTTTCTCCCATGTAGTTTTTGGGATATTTGTCACAAAATATCAAATGACTGTGTGGATTTGTCTCTGTGTTTTCTATTTCCTTGGTCTCTATGCACGTTTTGATGCCAATACCCTGATATTTTTGTTACCACAGCTGTGGAGTAAAGTTTGATATCAGGTATTGTCATGCCTTTAGCATTTCCCTTCTTTCTTAGTATTGACTATTCTGAATATTTTATTCTTCCAAATGAATTTTAGGACTGCTATTTTCCAATTTTGTGAAGAATATCATTGGTTTTTTTTGGTGAGATTGAATTGAAACTGTAATTTTTTTGTAGCATGTCCATTTTGACAATATTAAATTTGCCATTCCAAGAACAAGAAAGGTCTTTCCTACTTATTGTCCTCTCCTCTCCCTTCCCTTCCTTCCCCTTGAATTTATTAAGAGTTCTATTTAGGTATTATTAGTATATCAACTATTCCTCCTTGAAACTTGCTACTGCCTCCTCAGAACTTCCATGTAAGTTTCTGTAAGACAGTTATATATGAATCGGAGGAGTAATCAAACTTATAAGGGAATCATTTTTTCCAGTGGTCCTTTCTGTGTGAGTACAAGCCTTTTTTGCATCACACAAAGAGAGAGAAAATAATTGGAACTAAGAAATTAGAAAAACAGGATTAGTAAGAACAGTCACAAGATTTCTATCAAGCACTTCTCAATGGAAATCTGGATTTTCTTTGTAAGTATTTGTCCCTTGTCTCTTCCAGTGTTTTGCCATTCTACTAAATTCCTCATGGTGAGGTACTTTATTCTAAATAGTTTTGACTGAAAACCTGGAGACACTGTTGTGTACAAGGACACAATAAGTATACTTCTTATAATTGTTCTTTTGTCATTGTTCCAGAAAGCTCCTGCTATGTGTTTGGCTCTGTCAGCTATATGCTAATGATTTTGCTAGTGACTTGTTTTTCTGTCAGTCTTTTAGCTTTCAGTTTGGATTATGGGCATCAGTTTAGGAATCCAACATTGAAAAATCTTGTTACTTTTCCTTTCATTTGACAAATCCAAAAAAAGGGGACATGTGATTTTTTTAATGCCTTAATTGCCTATCAGTAAATTAAATAATATTCATTCAAGAAGAATCTCCATGAATGGTCCCAAAGGAATACTTTGTAATAAAATATCAGTCTTATACCAGATTTCATGTTTTTGTACTGTTGATTAATTTTACCCCTTTATTTAATAACAGATGAGAGTTCTAAAAATGAAACTTTAACCAGGTATGATTTTATGGATTTAAAAATTGTATTTGTTGTTAGGGCTGGATTGTGGCTTAGCAGTGAAGTGCTTGCCTAGCATGTGTGAGGCCCTGGGTTCAATACTCTGCACCACATAAAAATATGCAAATAAAATAAAGGCATTGTGTCTATCTACACCTAAAAATTATTGAAAAAATGTATTTGTTATGTATTTAGAGCATACAGAAAAAAGGAGGGTGTTTTTGAGTGTTCTGTTCTATCATGTGCCTGGCATTTCTTTCTTTCTCTCTCTCTCTCTCTCTCTCTCTCTCTCTCTCTCTCTCTCTCTCTCTTTCCTTTTGGTACCAGGGATTGAACCCAGGTGTGTTTAACCAGTGAGTCCTATCCTCAGTTCTTTTTTATTTCTTATTTTGAGAGAGGGTCTTGCTAAGTTGTTTAGGACATTGCTAAGATGCTGAGGCTAGTCTTAAACTTGGCATCCTCCTGCCTCAGCTTCCCAGGTCACTTGGATTACAGGCTCCACCACACTCAGGTACTTTTTTTTCTTAATAGTAATCACAGCAACTTGAAACTGTGTTTCTATAACCTACTGTTTACTATTTAAACAGTCATTCAGAGATTTTAGCTGATTATTCCATGATTCCCAAAGTAACAAGTACCTGGCCTATGATGGCAGATTAATATATGACTGTCTGCCCACTTGGCTGACTAGTCCATACTTTTGATAGAGACTCATGGGACATTATCATCAAGATGTAGATTCTACCAGATGAACTCAGAAAGTTACAATGAGTTATGTGTTCATTTTGATTCAGACTCTACCTGGGAAGCCAGGATAAAACTACAAGGATTTGCCTTAATATTTTGTAGATTAGTTTGATAACCAATACCTTTTAAAATTAAATCTTTTAGGAAAAAAATCTCACAATAGCAATGATTATAGGACCATGGGTTTTATATGAACAAAATCAGGTAAATCTGGGAGAAAAAATATTTTATTGGAAGTATCTATATATTGATGTATAGGCCATGTTATAAAACATTAATTACATTTGAAATCTTTTTAGAAGATATTTTAATTAATTTATCTATTTCCTGATTTATTAGTTTGGATTTATCTTCAGGCTACAACCACTATGTAGTTCTATCTAAACACTTTTTTCTTCAGAGTCTTTTAACTTTATGTGAGTATAATCGTGTTATGAGTATTGTCCTATGTTTTTATTGTTGTCATTTTTTACATTCTCTTCTACTTTTCTTTGAGTTTCTTTTGCTCTATTAAGAAAATTCTGCCAGCTAAGTATTCCTGTTTCTATGTACTGCATCAAAAGCACAGAGAATTTCAGGGTTTCAAGGAATCTTATAAACTAGTCAAAGTAATACTTCCAAATGTGTTTATCATCCTGGGCAAATGGTAGTTATGATCAACAACCTTCAACTTAAAGGGTATTAAAATGATTTTCTGGATATAGTAAGTGGCCACAGTAAAATCTAAACTCAGATTTCTAACTATTAGCCCAATATTTTACAATTTTACTACTTCTGTAGGTGTTTTGTGTTGTTGTTTATTTATTGTTTCATTATTTCTTTTTAGTTAAACATGACAGTAAAATCATATCACATAATTACAAAATCATGAAACATATCTGGTCATAATGCAATCCCCAGTATCTCTTCTTCTCCTTCCCTCATCTATCCCAGTCTCTTCCTCTCCTCCACTGATCTTTCTGTCATTTTCCCATAGATATTTTTAAAAATTAAATGATTACAGGTGTGCACCATGGTTTCACTATCATATATTCATATATGTACATAGGAAAATTATGTCAGATTAATTCCAGGGTCCGTCCTTTGCTGATTTCCCCTCCCTTCTCTTGACTCTTATTTGTCTATTCCCTGAAATTCTATTCTTTTTTTTACTGCTCCCACCCATTTATTTTGGACTAGCTTCCACATATCAGACAAAATATTCAAACTTTGGTTTTATGGGAATGTCTTATTTCACTTAGCATGATAGTCTCCAGATCCATCAATTTACTAACACTTTTTATAAAGTCATTCATTTCTCCTATTTCTCCATTAGGTATATATACCTCACTACTTGTTTTTTTGACAATTGTCATTCTGACAATTGTCATTCTGAGTGAGATGAAATTGCAGTGTAGTTTTAATTTGCACATAGCTGAGTGTTTTAACAATAGGACTTGTCTAGTGAACCCAACTGTAGAAGGTGAGAGTGAAGGTAGTGCATGATCGCCATCTAGAGGATCAGAATGGAAGCACTAGAGTCTTTACAAGTTTGAAGAGGAACAGTGCCGAGTTTTGGAGGCATAGGTTTTGAGAAAAGAGATCAGAATATTAGGTTTTATGGCCAAATTGGTGAATGCCAAACAAACATGAATGACGGAGGATGTTGGGTGCTATCTAGAAAGGCATATTTAAAATTGGTGCCAAGGGGGTGCTGAAGAGGTTATTGTGTGCTTTTCTGCTTTATTGGAGGAAAGGGAAAAATCCAAGTTTCTGTGGAAAGATCTTAAAATTGTTTGAGCCACTGGGAAGAGCAGTGAGGATGGCCTAGAATTCCTCAAGCATCATGGGGCTTGAAGTTCCTGAACGTCAATTTTCTATGTCCCTGAACATCAGATGTCTGCTCACATTCATCCAACTCAGTGATTCCATTCCTATGTAAGGTTGGACAGGGTTGTGATTGGGTGGCACAGCCATCATGAAGCTTCAGTTGAGTAGTTGGGTAACATGTTCACACTGAGTTCAGTGACTGACACTCATTTAGCTCGTTTTCCAGGAGCAGGAAGAGAGAGCTCCTAACTTTGTGCTTTGAGCCCAACCTTGTTTCAGAAATCTTCATCTTCATAGGATGAAGATTTAAAAGTAGGAGATTGCCTTTGAGTCCTATAGGAGAGGGCCTTTGGAGTGGGAGCCCACAGAAAGGAAGTTATTTAGATAGTACTTAGGGAAACAGAGGTACAGCTTCCAGTACTCTACTTTGCCAATAGTCTTTTCCCTTGAGTGTCTGAATGACTATCATTTTTCTGTAAATAGTGTGGTGTGGTATTGCTGGGCCAATTGATTTTTCTTTCTAGTTTTAGGACTAACCTCCGTCC